ATGGACCTAGAGGGTACTGTGCTGAGTGGAGTAAGTCAGAGAAAGGCAAATGCTATATGATTTCGCTTACATGTGTAATCTAAAGAAACAAACAAAGAAAAACAGAAACAAACTCATAGATACAGAGAACATTTTGAGGTTGCCAGATAGAAGTCGGGGTTAGAGGGTGGTGAAAACAGTGAAGAGATTAAGAAGGACGAACTGGTTAAAAAATAGTCATGACGAGAGAGAGAGAGAAAAAAATGGTTTAGATGATGGATGCTCTGTTCATCCCTCAGGTGACCAAATCAAAGTTGTGACAGAAACAAGGAGCAGCAGCAAGGAAAAATCATCTGGGATCTAGAGGAATAAGCCATACAACTAGGGAGAAGTCCAAGAAAGCACCCTGCAATGACAGAAGGTAGGACGGGGTGAGGACATGGGGCTGCCAGGTCCTGAGCAGCTGAGTAAGATGGAGGCTGTGGTAGTGGCGGACGCCTCTTAAAGGGGCCACATCTGCAAGCAGATTTTGCGGTGACAGACCTGCTCACTCTGAGCACCAGTGCCAATTCGGCTGCGCGCAGGGGGCATCAGGGATTAACAGGGAGACATTGTCGGAGTGAGGGCTAAGGTGAGATTTGCTCTGTACAGAAGTGCGGGCAGTATCCATTGTGCCCTGTTGAGCCCTCCCCTCTTCCAGTGCGCAGACACAGCACCGCCATAGCCATTACCTCATCAAACTGGATAACAGAGGTCGCTCTGCCCAGACTCACACTGGAGGCAGCTGGCCTTGGTTTCTGGCGTGGCTTTTTGAGGCAACTATAAGCACAGCATGTGTGTATTGCTTGCTGAATCTTAACAAGTGGCCCCGGACGGGTAGAGACTTGGGCTAAGTTCAGCCTGCAACTGAACCCCTCTCAGGACACCTACTTCACAAATCCACACCAATAAGACCGGGAGACTTAGGAGCTTTGCTTAGTACATAGAAAGAGACATGGAAAGGCAGCCAAAATGGGAGGATAAAGAAGCAGAAACCATATGAAAGATGAACAGAGATCCAGATATAATAGAATCAAGTAATCTAACAGATGCAGAATTCAAAACACTGGTTATAAAGATGCTCAATGAACTTTTGGGAAAAGTAGAGAACTCCAACAAAGAGATAAAAAACATAAAAATGGAAATGAAATTATAAAAGAGAACCAGTCTGAAATGAAGAATATATTATCTGAGATGGGAAGTATATTAAATGGAATAAACAAAAGAGTAAACAAAGTGAATAAAGAAGAGGATCAAATGCCCTATCTAGAAGATGGGAAAGCCAAGAAAACACAATTAGAACAGCAAGAGATAAGTTGCCAAGACTTTAAATTATAAAAATAATTAAAGGAGGATACGGGACACTATTAAGGCTCCAGATATTCATCTGATCAGTGCAATCAGGAAATCAAAATGTTGAACAGCTGTTTGAAGAAATAATAATGGAAAACTTCCCTAACCTGGTGAAGGAAATGGACATAAAACCCCAGGAAGCTCAGAGGATTCCAAAAATCAGGGATCCAAAGAGGCCGATACCAAGACATCATAATTAAAATGCCAAAGGTTAAATACAAAGAAAGAATATTAAA